GCCAGGCCGCGCTGCCCACTGCTCCGACCGGCCGGGTCTGCGCCCCCCACCCTCACCTAGAGCTGGTTGGGACGGGGTTCTCCTTGAGCTTGACTGCCCTTCCCTGAATCCGGCCACGCCGGGCTTCCCCGTGACCGGTCCCCGCTGGGCCCTCAGGCCGGGCCGTTCTCAGCTGGATCTGTTCAGGTGGGGAGCCTCCTTAACTTAACCGGATCCTCCCGGCCCTGGTAAATGGGCCGCTACTCCCTCATTCCTGGAAGCTGCCCCCAGCTGTTAGTGAAGTTCGTGCTCAGCCAGTCCCCCTCACCGCGTCTGCTGCCCCCTTCTGCAGCCCTCTGCCAGTCCAGACCCATACCTGCTTTCTCGGCCTTTCCCTCCACTCCGGCCCCTCCCCCTTTCCCACCTGCCTTCGCCCCCTGCCTCTTTGGGTCCCAAGCGTCCCGCTTTGTGTGCAGGTGGGCTCTTCCTCAGATACACTGCCGTGGCATTTCATGCCAATTTAAAACTGTGCCGCCTTAAAAAATAAATGTTAGTAAAGTTTCACTTTATGTACAAAATCCAAAATGTGAATCCTGCTTTTGACACTTGTTCTAGTGAATTAAGAACATGGCAGGGTGTCAGAAATACATTTCTTGCATAAAATGCAACCGTCCTACATCTTTTCATTGATGGGAGGCAGAGTGGGAAATAATGATTGTCCACCCCCTGTCGTGGTTCTCTTCCCTTTTTCTGTACGTTTCTAGGCCAAGCCCTGACTTGATGCCCTTTCTCTTGCTGCTGTGTCCCCCTAAGAGTTTGCACTCAGTGGGTTAGACCCTGCTTGCCCCACCCATCCTCTCTCTTCAGACCTAACCTTGACACAGGAGCACTCCCTTGATGGATTTAGGCTGCTGTCCTGTTACCTGCTGCACTGATTGAGTCGGCAGCCCAGGGGTGCTCAGGTGTACCTCAGGGAGCTGGAGGCTGCTCCAGTGATTTGAGGATGGCAGTTTGCAGGGGGCGGGCCTTGGTCCAGCCTGTATGAAAGGGAATGCCCATCTCCTGAAATAGCTTTAATTTGATTCTGGGCATTTTCATATCTCCATTTTCCATCACTGTTTGAATTGGGACTGTTCTTTGCAGGCCTGAGTATATCTTTAGAAGGTCTTGCTATTCTGTTTCATTGAAACATTGTGAAAAAGCTGCTTCTGTTCTGACCCAGTTTTCATTTGGGGCTCAGGGTACAGAAATGCTTATCACCTGACCTCACTAACCTCATGCTTTCTCCTGATATCGAGGGTAGATTAGGTCCCTCTAATGCTTGGCCCTAAGCAGCACTCTCTGTGGGCACTCAGTTCCTGTGTAGGAACTTGAGATTGGTGCTGTTGCTCAAACCCACCTCAGCAGCTGATTGAAGAAAGTCACAGGTCAGAGCTTGGTGACCTCTGGATTTTGTTGTACTTCTTAAAGTCTGTTCGATTCAGCGTGTTACTTGAGTACCCTCTAAAGATACAGAACCAATCTCAGCCCTTTTACAAGTTACATAATAAACACTAGCGATCAAGTTTGCCGTCTTACTGGAGAGACAGTTTGTAAAACCTGAAACAACTAACCCAAGCAGGTAACATGAGATGAAGTGCCAAAGTGAGTTGTGGAGAAGATGCTGTCGGGAGTCGTGGTGGAAAGAAATCAGTGACATTTTTTGTGATCAGTACTGTTTCGTTTAGCTAACCGGGCTGTCGTAGGCCCTGTTGCACTTTGGCCACATGCCCTGCCGCCTGCGTGGGTGTGGCCCACCGCCTGATTCTGTGCAGCTCACAAGTTAGGAACGGTTTGTACCTTTTCAGATGGTTTGTAAAAAAACATCTTGGGACACATGGTTATTAAACATTCATATTTCGGTGTCTCTAGTTTTATTAGAATACAGCCATGCTCATTTGTGTGTTTGTGGCTGCTTTCTTGCTACAGTGACAATTGAATAGTTGTGCCTGTGACTCGTCTCAAAGCCTCAATTATTCACGATCTGGCCCTTTACAGAAAAAGTTTGCTGATCCCAGCTTCGTAATACAGTCAGCAGACATGCACTGTATTAGCCATTAGATCAGGATACATGTTTTTAAATGAATTTCTTAAAGAATTCTGTCCTGTTGTGACATCCGGGTTAATAGGTCATGAAAGGTCTGCAGGCCGTTTTTGAGGTATTTCCAAAGAAATTCCCTTTTACCATCCCTGTTCCTAAAGTGTCACAATAATCTTTCATCCAAACCAAGTCCATGCATTTTTTCTTCCTTGGATCCCCTAATTCTCTCCACACAACTTTTACTTATAAGAGGAAGTTTTGGGGTGTATTTTAAGTAAATTACGTAAGAAAAAACCCTGAGTTTGCTTCGAAACTTGAGGAAGAAATGGTAGTTTTGGAGGGTCACTTAATGGCATTGGTTTCTCTCATTTTCAGATTATTTGTGTAAACCTGAAGACAACGTCTACAGTATTGATTTCACCCGCTTCAAAATTCGAGATTTGGAGACAGGGACAGTGCTTTTTGAGATTGCCAAGCCTTGTGTTTCAGGTAGGCCTCAATACTGTAGCGCTCACTTGACGGGTGGAGCAAAAGGTCACTGAAGCTTCATTTTTGTGTGCATCCTGTGTCATGGACTCCAGTGAGGCCCGCTTCCGTGCCTCCTGCTAATGCCTGGCCTGCGGGCGTGCTGGCCTGAAGCTGAGTGGAGAGGCTGATGTGCTTTGAGTATCTGCTCTGTGCTAATCACTGTGTTCCCCATCCTTCTGTTTACCTCTGCCCTTGTGATCCTCATACCCCTGTGAGGAGTTACTATCCTCATTTTAACAGATAAGGAAACAGAAGCCCCAAATTTCCAGGTAACTTTCCTAAGGTCCTGTGCTCTTTTGTCCTCCCATATTGCCTCCACTTAGGAAAGGAATCCTTGAAATTAAACTACAATGAGTAGAGCCTGCCTGAGCCTTGAGTCCTGGGGACACTGAGGAGGGTGATACGGAGTCCAGTCCAGATCACGAGGCACGCTCTTTCCTCTAAGTAGCGTCTCAGACTTCCCAGAAAGCCGTAGTTGGGTTTTAATGTCCACCATTTTCTGGATGAACAGAGACCCAGACCTGTGAATTCATCTACCTAGGACTCCTTAAGTCCGCTTTGAACAGGCACTTCCTGTGCTTGGGATACAGTCCCAGGGTGCCTGATTGCAAGACCGGGACCACACGCAAGTCTTCGGAGCTCATCCCTGGAGATCTAGCACCCCCTGGAGTTAGTCTATTAGAACATAGTCCTTCAGAGGATCAGCCGTGGTCTGTGTTAATAACTCTTTTTGCCAAGCTTTTCGCATCTGATTTGCTATTCAGAAAATGCCAGTAAATTTGATAAGATGGTTGTTAGTATCCCAGGTAATTCATGAAAAAGTTTCAGCTCGTGTTTTTACACATTCACAGCTAGAGCGCTGGCCTCCTCGGCCCACCCCATGTTCTTTGTGTTGTCATGACCTCGTACTGACCTGGGCACCTGAGGGCTTGAGCTTATGGGTACGTGTATTGGGAGGGTCAGAGCCAGCCGGCTTCCTGGGTCTGTGCTGTTCACTCCCTGGGCCGCACGTCTCAGTGCTTAGAATGTTCCAGGGACCGCCCGGAGCTACTTGAGGTGTGTGGATTTGGCTGAGCCTGGGCTCACATTAGTCATTTCAGTACAAAACTGAACTGTCTCAAGGTCAACTGCAGATACTGTAAAAATACCTTAATTTTCAACCTGTCCAGTCTTGACCTTTAAGGCTCTTGATTCACTAAGAACATGCTCACACTGAACCAGCGCCCTCCTGTGGCACCTGTTCTGAGGAGTTCAAATCCCTGAGAAGATTTGATCTGATTCTCTTTGCGTTGCATTGTTGGAGCCAGGGCTCTGGGGTCCCTCGCTTTGAACCCCTACTCAGTCTGGTTGCTCAGTTGCTCTTGGGCTTATCACAGGCAGAGATGTTTGACGCTAAAAAAGACTTCTTTGATACTGCACATATGCTCGGCCCAGACCTGGAAAAAATACCCTTGCTGGACACTGGGTGGCTGCTAGAAGGAACTAACTCCTTGCTCACATTAGAATGGTTCTTGGATTAATTTTTCAAATCTTTCATTTCCTGTGCTGAGGATGGACTAGACCAGAGGCCATGGTTACCCTGCGGACCCTCACTCAGGCCCTACACATCGGTTCATGGCCCATCAGCCTCACCCTTTCCCAGGTGCTCGGAGTGTTAGTCCTGGGCTGGAATAGGCATTAGTCCAAGGATGTACAGTATCCCGAGGCTGTAGGTCAGTGCCTTCTGTTTAAATAGCAAAATTATTTCTAGGAGTTTGTCTTTTCTGCCTGTCAGAAATTTTTGCATTCTTTGAAGATGCCTTTTGACTAATTTTAGCTTCTGTGGTCGCATTCTTTTGGTTAGCAGCAAGCAGTTTAACCTGATCAACAGCATCCCTGGTCTGTATAACACAGACTACATCAGGGGCGCAGGACGCAGCCTGTGTTCCAGACATCACTGTTACATACGGCCCAAGCCCCCAAGTTACATAAAAGGCAAAAAGCTTAGTGTTTAAGGACCTGGATTCAAATCCCTGCTTTCTCCATTTACTACAGGCAGACCTCATTTTATTGCACTTTGCTTTATAAACTGAAGGTCTGTGACAACCCTGCATTGAATAAGTCTATTGGCATCACTTTTTCAACAGCTTCATTTTTTAATTAAGGCATGTACGTTGTTTTTTTAGATAGATGGCTGTTGCACACTTAATTGACTACAGTACGGTGTAGACATAACTTTGATGTGCACTGGGAAACCAAAAAATTCACGTGGCTGGCTTTATTGTGGTGGTCTGGAACTGCACCCGCAGTGTCTCTGAGTCTGCCTGTGTTTGGGGTACTTGGGACACGTCAGCGAAGTCTCTGAGCTGGAGCTTCCTGATGTGTAAAACGGAGACAATGCCTACAGGGGTGTTGGGATTCTGTGAGGTGTCTGCATGGGGTCCGGCATTACAGCGGGTTCACAGTGAGGGTTGGCCGGCCTGCTGTCGGTGTTGGGACTGCTCAGTGGTTGTGCTGTCTGGACTGGAGGTGCCGAGATGGTGCGCTCACGATTCGGTGTGCTCTTTCAGACCAGGAGGAGGAGGAGGAAGAAGCAGGTGGAGATGTGGATGTCAGCGCAGGCCGCTTTGTCCGCTACCAGTTCACACCAGCATTTCTCCGCCTCCGGACCGTGGGGGCCACGTGAGTACCAGCAGGTCCTGAGGGGAGAGCGGCTGCTTGCTCACAGAGAAGAATGTTCTCAGTTGGGTTTGGGGTTGGCTCTAGAGGAGGGAGGAGGCAAAGTTGGGCTCACAGAGATTTATTTTGCAGGGTGGAGTTCACGGTGGGAGACAAACCTGTGTCAAACTTCCGGATGATCGAACGGCACTATTTCCGGGAACGCCTGCTGAAAACCTTTGACTTTGATTTCGGCTTCTGCATCCCCAGCAGTAGGAACACTTGTGAACACATCTATGAGTTTCCCCAGCTTTCTGAGGATGTCAGTACGTATCCCCTGAGTTTTACAGCAGTCTGGATTCTTCAGGCTTGAACTCCATCTGGTCCAACCCCCCTGTTTGGCAGAGGAGGGAAATAGTGACATGACGCATCTCTAGTCATTTGACCTCAGGTTCCTGACTCAAGTTTCAAACTCTGGCTCTGCCTGGATGGGAGCACCGAAGGTTTTAGTGATACAGGCCTCCTGTTTAGATGCCTGCTGCAGGAAGGGGAGTGGCTGAGGGAGATAAGAGTAGGCCCAGTCCCTGATTAGATGCTCCGATTAGACACAGCACCTCTCCTGCCCACTGTCAGCCCTGGTTCTCACTGTGTTCTAGTCACCAGCTCCTGCTCAGCACTCTGTTAGCATTTGCTTTTTCCTTAATCAGAGCTGCATGTGAAACTGTGGGCTAAATAAAATTCTAGGTCTGAGGACCACCTCTTTCTCCTTCTCTGTTAAGTTGAAAGTTCACTTGGTAAACTGTTAGAATAGAGCCAGCAGGAAATAGGGAGCTGTTAGAGAATTTGAAGCAGGAGTGGCAGGATGGAAGCAGCGTCTTGGGAACAGTAACCCTGTGGTTCTGTGGAAGAGGGACTGGGGAAGGCGCCTGAGGGAGAAGGCTGGGCAAGGGAGGAGATGGACTTCCTGGCAGAGAAAGAACAGGTGGAATCAGTTCCCATGGCTTTGGTCTGGCTCTCTCATGTTAGCACCCGCTGCGAGGCATTAGGGAAAGTTGTTCCAGAACAATGAGGCTGTGGGATCCTGTGAATAGTGGTGGAGTTTAGTTGGATTGTGAGGAAGGGTGTACATGCACCAACTAGTCTTCTCAGAATGCCAGGTCCTTAAAGTTGTCATTTTCTGACAGGTGTTCTTTACACACTTGGCAGTGCTGTTCCCAGGTCAGGTGAGGGTTGCTGAGAAGTGGGCAGGGTGTTGATGGCAACATCTGACCCTGGTTTAAAGTCCTCTCCCAGGCTGGGCTGGAATATGTGGATACTTGCGAGGAAAGATGACGTATAGCATTTTGAGTTTTTATCCAAGGCCGTATAGCTTTTCTTCTTGAAACCAAATAAGCTGAAAGAGGGTGGGGGTCAGTATCTGGATATAAACTAAATAACTTGGCTTGGGTGGGTTCAAAGAACTTGAAACAGTCAATTCACCTTTTGAGAACTGTGGTCAGCAATAGCATTTCCTCCAGAGGATTCAAAATAGCACATAGTCATTACCTCGAAACTGACCAGAGGTAGTGACTGTTAATTCCCTGGAGTCTCCAGTTATGGTTAAAGAGGTCAGGGCAACTGCCTGAACAAACAGAAGATTTAAATCTTGATTCCCAAGACAAGCAGATCTTTTGCTGGACCATTTGTGGGTTAGTACCCTGAGCTGTCTCTGAAGAAGTCTCCTTGCCCTCTGTGCCCCTGTGCTGGCGCATGCCTAGGACTCCCTTGTTGGGGGCCTTTGGGAAGTGGGCACAGTGAGGCACAGCTTTCTGAGTGTCTGGAGGTGGGGAATAGACCAGAAGCACTGAGTAAACAGGCTGCCGTGGTGCGTGTTGGCAGAAGGGTGAGCACACCTCCCTGGGGTTCTGATGAGCAGTGGGCTGGCGGTGGCTACAGAGGGCCGGGCCATAGAACGGGCTGCATCCTTCTGTTGAAGTGGATCGCATGTTCAGTTTGGGGGCCTCTGGGGTCCCCAGTTCTCCCCAGCTCTCAAGGCCTGTCTCCTTCTGTTCTGACCTCATTGTTCTGACAGTGAATACACATTTTTGGGAAGGGCTGGCTGTTGAATTTTAGAGGGGGTGCTAAGTTTTCTCCTCATCTGGCCCACAGGGCAGACTCACACATGAGTCTTTGCTTTTTCCCTTTCCCCCACTTGCAGTTCGTCTGATGATTGAAAATCCCTATGAGACCCGTTCTGACAGCTTCTACTTCGTCGACAACAAGCTGATAATGCACAACAAGGCTGACTATGCCTATAATGGGGGCCAGTAGCTGCGGGAGGAGCAGACGGGGAGGTGCTTGGCTGCGGCCCGAGGTCCTGGCACCTGGAGGCAGTTGAAGCTGCTGCCTGTCAACACACATCTGGAACCCGGCCCCGGAAGCCAAGGCTGGGGCGGCAGTTTTCTGCGCTCCGAGAGAGGTGCCAAGCAGTGCTGTGTTTCCTTCCCTGGTATTTTTTCTTCCCGTTTTTCCCTGTCCCTTAGGTCACAGAGGTACTACAGTAAAGTAAAAAATTAGGGTAAGACTCCTGGAATCCAGAAAAAAAGAAAGTTTATTTTCAGGTAGTCATCGCTCCTGGTTGTCCTGACGAGCCTGGGTCTCTCCAAGCACAGCTGTGCTGGGGAGAGAAGGCTTTTCTGCAGGTGCAGGGACGCCAGGCCTCCTGACTCGGGGCCACCATCAGCACACTCTGACCTCGGCCTGCGCGTGGTCCTACAGCTGCTGGAAAGAAACTTGAAAAGGGACGGCAGGATAGAGCGGTGCCCAGAGTGGAGGCGCTGGGCGGGCAGAGGGGCCAGACCAAGAGCCCTTTATGCAGAAGCTGTTCATCCGTTGACGCCAGGGGTCGTAGCCAATCCTCCTGGGGCTGCACCGTGCTTCCAGCCTGGCAGCGCCTTCCTGCTCTCCTTCTGGAAGAAAGATGAGCTGGCTCTGCTTCTCCTGGCTCCTGACTTTTGAGTTTTTCCTGAAATGGAATGCGTCAGTTTTGCTCTGGGAACTGTAGTATCTCAAGGTCAGAGCAGGTCTCAGTGTTTTTGGCTTTTTTATTTCCAGGCTCTTTGAGGGGGAGGTTTTATAGAATGTCAGTGGTATTCCCAACGTATGTGATGTGTCGCTAGACCTCTAATAGTATTAACCAGGCTCATGTCCCATCTGCTTTTGTACTGAAGTAGTTCCTGGAACCATCCTGGCAGGTCAGACCTAAGAAATGTGTGTTCTGGTCCTTCAGACTGCCCATTGGAATGGTTTTGGGTGGGAACCGGGGAAATTAGCTGAGGTGGCCTGTCAGAAAGGTGTTTCTCAAATAGATTTTTTGCACATCCCTCAGACCCTCATTGGATAGACTCTCCCTGCCTCAGATCCCTAGGGTTGCCTGGCTGTGTGGGTGGATTTAGATGCTTAGCCTAAACTCCTGAGCCTCTGATGAGATGGTTGCTATGGCCAGGATTTAGCTTTGTTAGAAAGGTCACGGCAGGAAGGGCCCAGGTGTGTGCTTCTGTGACAGGAGAGCTGTCTCCCAAGGGGCTAGGAAGAAAGGTCAGCTGGGGCCAGGGGAAGAAGGGCCTGCACTTGGCCGCAGAAGGCCCTGTGCATTCACTCACTGACCAGTGCTGCTCCCTGTTTGGATTCTAGAGTGTGAATGGCCTTGCACCTTGGTCCAGTGCTTTGCGCCAGGCCAGAGTCCGGGCTGTACCAGATGCTGGCAGCTTGCTCACTGAGGAAACCCTGGTTAGCCCTGTGTGCTGGCGCTGGACCCAGCCCCTGAGGGAGAGGAGACTGAGCTCCCTGTGGGCTGCACATCCCCAGATGGGGTGAATCCGAGAGCTGGAGTCGGCTACAAATCCAGGTGCCTTATGTGTGGCTCCGTCCAGATGCTGACGGACGGACACCAGCACTGCCTCTCTCCCTTCTTTCTCACTGGGGCTCCTTTAACGGATTTGTGTTCATTGAGCTTCAGAATAGCCCCTTCTCTCTGTGACAGAAGTCCATTTGGGAGAATTTCTACTTCTTGAAATTTAATTATAACCTAGGGTGTGGTTTCTGGAGCTGTCCGGAGCTCTGCTCTGTAGAGCCTGCCTTGGAAACGTGTCTCAGGGCAGACCACAGCTTGTGCGTGGGTGGGCTGTCTCTTATCTGCAGTGTTAGCTGTTGCTGAGAGGAGGCCCAGGAGGGCAGAGAAGGCAGGCATTCTGGCATAATAGTGCTGTATCCCTCTCCCCAAGAGCTCACCTCCATCTCACTGGAGACCATTTGGAGCCTGAGCGCTCTGTCTGCAGCCAGCAGGATGGGGAGTTGCCCTTCTCTACTCCTGAGGTCTGGTGTTCTGTATCTGAGACTCTGCATTCGTGTGTCCAGCTAGGCACGAAACCTTGAGGAGCATTACAACTCTGAGGTGGTAACCAGCAGGGTAAGTTGGAAGTTCAAGCTTTGGTGTCTGAACTGGAGAGAGAGGTGGAAGTCGCACTTCCTCTGAAAGTAGCTGAACTCATCAGAAGTTGAATCAGGAGGCCGTGTTATTAAGGAATCTGGGCCACTGGTAGCAGTTATCTTGTGGGTGATGCAATGGGAGGAAAAAACCTGCCTTCCTGGGGAGACGATGCCCTGAGAGGCAGCTCCTGGAGGGAACACATTCCAGCAGACTGGCAGGCCCAGCTGGCGCCAGGGGGCCTGCTGCCTGCCCTCCCTCTCCCGTCCTGCTCCTGTCCCTCTGCCTTGGAGCCTTGGAACCTCCTGGTAGAGCACCTCTCTTCTGTAGAGCAGTTGGGCTAAGATGACCTTTTGGCTTCTGCAAAGAAGATCCTGGTTTGTTTCATTCTACGTTTTAAAGAGTGAACAGAGGAAATAACTAAAAGTAGTTCTGGAATAAAATAGGTCATCCTCTCCTCATGTGTTAGCTCAATGCTGTCTTGCAGGGAAGCAGTTTTCAGGAGCATGGAAGACTTCCTGAAGACACCCACAGTCTTCGGGCCATCTGATTCTCAAATAGGCAGTGATTTGGGGACTCTGGGGTGATCCAGAGACTGGAGATTCTTGTGTGGCAAAGTTGGGGGAATCTTCAACTGGTTTTTTCAGTTGAAGTGGGACTCGTTTCTGGAATGGATTTAATAGGCTGTGTCTAATGTACAAATTGGGTGCGTTTTGCCTTAGTAGGTCTTACCACCCTTGGTAGGCTCCCAGGGTACTCTTTTTTTTTCCTCTGTAAAGTCACTTTCTTCTGGTGGCCACTGTCACTATGACTTCAGTGAAGTTAGGGGGATGTGGACAGTTCTCAGAGTCACAGCACAGACTCATTGCCTGTGGGCAAGGATCCCGGATGCAGAGGGTGCCGCTGTACCTGGCATAGGAGCTGGGTCATCAAATCATTGTGTTACTTACATTCCATGTTACAGGACGTCTTAGGAACAAGAAGGGTCCGGTGGAGGTGGATGTACCCCTTGTTGTACAAAGGATCATGTAAAGTCATTGAACTTGTGAAAGTCTATTTTTTCCCTGTAAATCTATTTTTCACAGAATATAAGAAATGTCAGTGACCTGATCTGCCTCCCCGCCTCCCCCAAGCTCCTCATTCCAGTTTGTATTGTCTTTGTGTCCAAAGTAAACCAGGTGACTTATTTGTATAAAATGTTATTTTGCCACAAGAGACAGTAATAAAAGAAAGATTTTCACAGTATGTGTACCCCCTCTTATCTCCTGAGCAGCCCCTTGTGTCGGTGGGGGAGCAGGTATGGGGGGAGGGTGGGGGCGGGCTCAGAGTTTCTTTACATGGCCTTTATGTAAATATTGGTTTAATGAGCATAGCTGGTCTCTGGGGTGATTAGTGCATAGTATTGTGCTTTAGGCTTAATTTTTTTTGCTTTACATTTTGCTGGGGTGCTTTGAGAATTAAAAATGTATATACATGTTTTTTAAAGTTAGGTTCATTAAGAGGAGTTTTAACTATACCTCCAAGATTTAATTCACCTCATGTAAGAGTACAGTTTGATGAGTTTTGACAAATGGATTCCTGATCACATTCATGATACAGAGCATTTCCATCACCCCAGAAAGTTCTCTCAAGTTCCTAGTATTTGCAGCCACTTCCCTCCCTTCACCCTAGTCCCTTGTAACCATCTTCTGATTTCTGTCTCTATTGGAGAACTTGCACACTTTTAATATAAAACTTATATCCATGTTTGAGGTCACAAACAGTATGAGTTAAAAGTAAATCTGTTTTAGATGGTCTGTGGCACCTGAAGGCTTCTGCCCACAAACACCACTCATTTATTTTCCCCCCTCTCCTGCTTTTTCCTCTTTTCTTCCACCCTGGGCTGGTGCCAGGTTGGGTGATGAAAGGTTAGGAAGCCTCGGATCATTTGCCAACAATAGTCATTTGTTGGCTTTACAGTAGTATGGATTTAGAGGCTTTCTTTTGAATGCATTTTTTTTTAATTGAAGTATAGTCAGTTACAGTGTGTCAACTTCTGGTGTACAGCATAATGTCCCAATCAGGCACATATATACATGTATTTGTTTTCATACCGTTTTTCATTAAAGGTTATAAGATATTGAATATGGTTCCCTGTGCTATACAGAAGAAACTTGGCTTTTTATCTATTTTCACATATAATGGTTAACATTTGCAAATCTCAAACTCCAAAATTTATCCCTTCCTACCCCCTTCCCCCCGATAACCGTAAGATTGTTTACTATGTCTGCAAGTCTGTTTCTGTTTTGTAGATAAGTTTATTAGTGTCTTTTTTTTTGATTCCATATATGAGTGGTATCATATGGTATTTTCTTT